TGCATAGAAATATACAAAATATATCAAATATTTTTGCTATAGTTCTGAAACGGTTTTAAATCCTGTTGTCAGTAACGCAGCCTATATTGTTTGGATAATGACAAGCATTCTTTATCAAACTTGTGCCATAAATCTATATGGCATTACCTGCAGACTTTAACTCCAATGACCTCTTTTTCCTAAGATCTAAGCATGAATACGCAAGGGGAGTCCTGAAGGCCTCCACAAGAAATTTAATTAGAGCAGACACATTCAAACAATTTATGCAGCAGGAACTCAGGAAAACTGAGATCCTGTGAAATGACTGCAGGCAGGTTTCTCCCCCCTACAGCATGTACCTCAGCCAAACCTCAGCACTGCCAGTCCCTTGGCATGCACGGGTGGTGGCACGGTCCGTGGTCACCCTGCTCCGCTGGAGCATCACACCTCCTGCCACCGTCAGGCACTAAATCAACCTTCCTCCATGGCCCGAATCCATGGGCCCAGGTAGCTGCCTGCTCACACAACCCAAGGCACACAGCTCATTCTGACACCCCCAGGGCTTCTCCTGGAAGAGCTGGAGTGATGGCCTGAGGCAGAGAAGGAGGGTAGTAAGGGACAGAAGAGGCTGCCCACTTATAGGAGAAAGAATCTGTATGAGAAATGACTAAACACTTGCATGGACATGTGTGTAGGAGTACAAGGCTCAGGCTTTCCTCACAGCATAAACAGCATATTTTAATCAGCAAAACTCTCACTGACCTACAGCATCTCTCTGTGGGTCATACTGCTTTGATTGCAAGTATTCAAGGAATAACAAGCTCCAGAGATTGCTTGAGTCAACAAAAGCATCTTCTCATTTGCTAGGATGGGACTGTGGGGAAAACACACTGTTTGCTCACAGCTTTCTCATTCCCAGCCCAGTAGCAGAGCAGCCACAGCAGCTGCTGTGCTGGGCACCAGGGAAAACATGACTCCCTGTTCCTTTTAACACACAGATGCCCCAGCCAGGATCCCTGCTGATGTCAGCCTGAACATGAGCCCTGATGGCTACAAACATCAGCTCCTACAGCAAAGATGGCTGATTTTGTTATGATGCTAAAAAGCATCATCTCAGAAGAAACTGGGGTCTAACTACCCCATGAATTAGTTAAGAACTAGTTCTGCAAAATACTGATTTAACTCTTCCACGTCTGTGAGTAAATCCTGGACAATGAAACAAGAGAGATCTCCACATGATCTTTTATCCACCAAAGCGCTGTCCAAAGTATATGGGACACTTCTGATCCATTAAGTTTTTCTGAGCTGCATCACGGTTCAGTCTGTACTGTATGCCACGTGCTTAAATATGCTCTAAAACATTTACCTTGCAATCACCTGCAGTTTTTAAGTTTCATATTAGCTTTCTGGGGTTAGCAGTCCTTTCTAGCCATATCCAAAACAGCCTGCCCAACTGCCTTTATTTTTGAGAGCTAGTTAATTCAGACATGCATCCAGACTTTAAAACACAGCAGAAACCCTACAGCTTCAGCAACTGTTCTGCAATTTGTTGTTACACAGGTAGGCTGCTGTGGCTGCAGCACTGAAGCTCCAGATCACAATTCCTGCTGAATCAGCCTATATCTCCAGAAAAATAAGCTCAGTCCAACTCAACCATAGGTGCACATAATCCCTGCTGGCCAACAAAGCCCAGCCTCCCGGCCTCTCTGGAAAGCTGGCTCTGAACGAGCATTTAGAAGCTGGCAGTTCTCCTTGTGTCACGCTCCTGGCCCAGGTCCTTTTTCCATCCTGCCCTTTTTATTCTCCCATTGCCCTTGCAATGACCTGACGCACTCCCTTTGTGCTCGGCTGCTGAGCCAGTGGGATCTGCTCACTTGGCGCCACTAATTAAGTTCAACAACAACATTTTTTTTCAGCAGTTCTGTCCCAACACATTTAGTTGGGATTTTAAATTCTTTAGATTTCATTCAGCCCATGTGCATGGTGGTGTCACAAGGCTCTCGGCCCAGCTCAGCTGGTCCTGGCCATGGAAGGGCTCCAGCACCCTTGACACAGTGCACATAAGCTTGGCGTCAGGCAGGAGAGGATGGTCCGAACAAAACAGTCACCCAAATAAGGAGCTACCATCACTCCCTGTTTCTTTTAACACATAGCCAGGATCCCTGCTGATGTCAGCCTGAACATGAGCCCTGATGGCTACAAACATCAGCTCCTACAGCAAAGATGGCTGATTTTGTTATGATGCTAAAAAGCATCATCTCAGAAGAAACTGGGGTCTAACTACCCCATGAATTAGTTAAGAACTAGCTCTGCAGTCAGGACAAAATACTGATTTAACTCTTCCACGTCTGTGAGTAAATCCTGGACAATGAAACAAGAGAGATCTCCACATGATCTTTTATCCACCAAAGCGCTGTCCAAAGTATATGGGACACTTCTGATCCATTAAGTTTTTCTGAGCTGCATCACGGTTCAGTCTGTACTGTATGCCACGTGCTTAAATATGCTCTAAAACAGGTCAATCATTTACCTTGCAATCACCTGCAGTTTTTAAGATTCATATTGGCTTTTTATTTTTTTCTCTTTGATCCTCTTATCTGCTCCTGTCCCTTCAAGGAATATCAACAAACAGCCTGATGGAAAATAAATAGAAAACATGGTACAAGACTAAGTTCCAGGATACGTAAAGAAAATGTTGCAGTCAAGTCCAAAGAAAAAGATGTGAACAATGGAGGTGCTATCCTAAATATATGAGTGAGGAACTTAAAACCAAATGCAGGGGAAAGCAGGATTTCAACAACAGTATTCAAGGCTGAGTTAAGAATATTAGAGAAATAGCTTGACGGCAGCACCTAAAATCAGCCGCAGGGAAGTGTATGAAGGAGGGAGATGAAAAAACAGCAGTCATCAGCGGAAGATGGACTGCTTACCTTCTTAGATAAATGTGAACAGAAAGCTGTGCTACTCACTAAGTTCTACTACATCATTTTTTAAACAATGCACTACCTTTTGAGCTCTTCAGATCTTCATGCAACATGTGGCATAGCCAAGACATCTTTTGCTAGACAAAGACTGGCAAAACATCTCTGCTATATGATCCACTGGACAGATATCTGCAATCCCAGAGAACCCTATCTACTAAATCTTTTAGGCATACGAAGGGGTCTTTCATTTTATTGTTTATCTGGAACTCAGCACAATTCCAAGGATGGGTTCCTATCCAGTCCTAGACACAGGACCATCTCCCTGCTTTTCTACCAGCTTTGACAAAGTTAAGCTGACTTGTTCTTTAGTTTTGCAATTATATGAATTTAGCTTAAGAAGAGAGAGGTTTTGGAATAAACAGTGTTTAATAAAAAACATATTCCCTGGCAAATTTGATAGGATCACCAACAAAAGCAGGGATCTGAAAAACAGTAAAAACATATGAATTTTCAGGAAAGGATATTGCCAAGGTAACAAGCTAGTCCAAATGCAAAATTCTATGGGAATTAGGCTGTAAGATGCAACAACACATACAGCAGAGTCTGAACTTTGTATTTCTTCCTGACCAGCTCCTGTCAGCACCAAATCTGATTTCTGAACTAACCGCATCCTTATAGATCACTTCTAACAAAATTGACTACCCTTTCCTCCTACATAACATGCAAATGATGCTTTCTTAAAGATGTGAGTCCTTGAGGAGTATGTATAAGCATCACCTGCAGGGAATAAAGGACCCATGGCACCTGCTGAGGTAGGCTGTGAACTTTCTGCAGTGGTATTTCCCAGGGTACATTCCAAGAAGTATCAGCAGTCTTTGTCCTTATCCCTGTGTTCCCTTCAGCACTCGTTGCTGGCCACTTGCAGAGCTTGGATATTGACCCCCATGGGTCTTTGCTCTTTGCCAGTATGCTCAGAGCAAAGGTCTTTAACAACAGAGACCATCTGGGAGGAAAGAAAGCTACATCACTGCCCTGTGATCCAGAGGATGAAGGGACTCTGGACTCCTTCCCAGAGTCAGATCCCTGTGGATACCAGAGAAGTACAAAAGACTCTTCAGAAAGTCCTGCTCTGAATTCCCAGGACGCTGGATGGATGGGGAGCAAAGAAACATGTTTGTAAGTGTTTTCATGATGAGTTATGAGTTAAATTAGGAGGCTGACAAGAGCAAGGAGCAATAAGTGTTCTGCTTGTAGAGTGGGACAGGGTTTGCCCAGCAGGCTACGGAGGACAATGAAAATTATGAAAGTTACAAAGACCTGCTGAAAACACCGAAACTGACACCATTAGGGCATGGCTAACACGGCAAGGGTCCAGCAGGAAGGGGACTCTGTATAGCCACAGCCACAACCTAAATAAGGACAGCTGCTTCAACAAGCCACTTGAGAGAATTTCTCAGGGGATCTTATCATGATACTGGAAAAAGCGTCTATTAAATACCAAATGGATTGCTCCAGGTCTAGGGAAGAGGCAGCCCAGCCAAATCCTAAAGGAAAAATACACAGTGTTCCCAGAGGCACAGCAAACCCACCCAAACTGCTCCTCAGCCACATGCCACTGAGATGGCGAGGTGCTGTGTGACAAGAGATGAAATTCATCTAATGGCAAAAATCTTCTAAAACCTCTCGTCTGTTGGAAGCTTCTGATTTTGCAGCTAAAATAGGCTGCAAATTCTGCAGGGCTGGGAATGTCCTGTTTGCTTTTACAGTGGCTGGCATGTTGCGTGGAGTCTCAATGTCTCCAAGATGGCCAAAATTAAACACAAATTAAACAAATTACTTCACAGTTATTTAGCAGCGAATAAAAAAAGATTTTACCCTTGAGAAGAAAAGAAACCGTAGACTAAGCAGTGCAATTCCTGGAAAGCACTGAGGGCACTGATGATACACAGCCCTGATGATCATCTACCTGCAGAAATGAATGTGCTTTCCAAGCAAGCAAGCTGGCAAACCTTAAAAACTTAAAACGTAAAAAAAACCTTAAAACTTAAACGTACTTAAACTGTAAAACTACCGGTTTGTGAGATCTCATCCTCTTACCTGACATCATTGCCTCCATGGGCAAAGGATCCAAAGCAGGCTGTTAAGATCTGGAGGAAGTGGAAAAGTAGATGGACCTGAGAGGTGTCTTTCTCCTCCTTATCCTCTTCCACAGGATCAACAGGGGGCCGGTTAGAATCTGCGAGTTCAGAGGCCAACTTCATTTCCACCCCACCTTCCTCCGCCTCAATCTCTGCCTCAGCCACGGCGTTGCAATAGCTGGAGTAGCTGTCGTAGCGGACTCGCTTCTTGGAGTAGGAAACAGTGTCCCCCACCAACTTCTCACTGTCTTCTGGAGTAGATGTGTCCGCTGCCTTAAAGGAGGAATGCACAGGCATGCCACAAATAGCAGCAGTGTAACAAGTGTAGCTGTTGTTGCGCCGTAAGAGTTTGTAGTTGTTTTCCGCAGTGGGCCTCTCATCATTGGCCCTGTCCAGGTGTATTTTGTGGAGCAAGTCTTTGTATAAACCTGAGTCCTTGTGCACAGTGTGATAAACGTGGCCATCGCTCCTCACGTGGCCATCGAAGCTGAAGGTGCCATTGGAAACAGGTGATTTCACCGAGGTGTGCGTCACTGAAAATGCCCTTCCTGAAAAGGCAGAGATTTAGAGGTTTTGTTCACACAAAATGCAATACAAAAGCCTCCTTTCTCCAACACAAGACAATAATATGGCCAGCATCTGAGAATACAGGACAAAGGAGATCAATTTGCACTACATGCAGCAAATAAGCCAAGATTCGATTCACTGCAAAATAAAGTCTCTCATTTTCTGTGGAAAAAGAGCTTTGTTCCAGTGCTGAGTCTCCCCAGACATGCTGTACGACCTGCAGCAAGTCACTTGGGATCAGCTATTCCAATGTGATACATGATGGTTAAATCCTCAGGTTCTTTGAAAATATAAATTTCCATAAAATTCCTTTCTTCTAAAGCAAGCTCTACTTTTTCTCAGGTTTTGTCTACATTGAATAGGAATAATTAGGATTTCTGAAATGTGGTTTACTGCAGTTTCATACTGGGAATTACCTGTTTTAAGAGACATTTCATTCATATTCGTTTGTTTAGGAGATATTTATATACCTTTTAAAAATAACTTTGAAAAAGCAAAGGAAAAAATTTATGTTCTGCAGAAGTATTTCCTTAGCTATTGCAACATTTTCTGTGTACTAGTCCTGTGAACATGATGATGATTATTCCCACTGCATACATTTAATGTTAGCATACACTGTAGGACACACATCAAGATGTATCACAGATAATATTTCTGAAGAAACTGTCTTTTTCATTTCCTGACTTCCTGGATTTTCACTGTGCAACATTCAGAATTTGGTTTAGCTATTTTTAAACTGGAAGCACACACTCTAAGGGCTCCACGTCATGACTTATTTGATTTTGTAAGAATCAGTTGAATAAATAAGACATTTATTAACCAAATTACAGGGCTTTGGAGATGTTAGCAAAGTGATATCAAAGTCAGCAGACCGCTAAGTGGAGGGGGGTGTTCCCACCACGTGGCAGAACAGAAAGAGCTTTATGCACACAAGTCAACTTACAAATATATGTTCAGAAAACAATGTGTGAGATTTTTCTAGTGGACACACTCCAAATGGTCATACATTTGTCAGCTAATGTCCAAATCTTTTCATCTCCTGTTGTAGTATGCTAATCATCTCTATGCTGAGTTTAACCTTCATACATCAGTAATCTGTGTGCTCTGTATTTTTCCACTGCTTAATAGGATGGAAACACTATTAAGAATACAAAGTAAAGCATCGCAAAAAGGCAAGTAATTTTTTTTTATCTGTTTCTAAAACTGAAATACAGCCAAGCAAAATGTAATTGATTTTAGGTCCGCTCCAGAAAATGTCACTTGTAAATGAGCATCTTTCCAAACAAGCACTGAAAAGGGATTGAAAAGAGATGGAAATTCCAAGCACTAATTTACTATTTACAGCAGAGACCTACTTGCAAATAAGAAACTTCATTGAAACAAGAAGAGGACAAACCCTCTAAGTTGTCTTAGTTCCTTACCATATGGTACACGTGGATGGTTTCCATTTGCAATATTATCTGATGCCCCAGCAGCTTCTGTAACTGAGCCAGTAAGGGGAATCGTGCTCTCATCAGATGCTTTGGCACCAGGAAGCTCTTTAAAGACTGGTGTTTCTTCATCCTGAATTTTATCAAGACTTTCATCTGATATCCTTGACAGTGCAGCATCTTTCTTTAACCGGCCTAAGGAAAGAATAGCGCTGTAATTTTAAACCCAACCTATACCTCTCCTTACTTAGGTTTCCCCTGTTTACATCAACAGCATGGTTTAACTTGGCTTCAATAGCCAAACTTTGCTTCATACCCACACTATTTATTTCTAGCACTTTACCACGTTCATGTGTGAATATTCTACAACATCTTTGTTTCCCCCGATAAAATTCTCCAAAGTAGGTAACTTTGTAATAAAACACTGAGCTGTTCATCTATTAATGAAACACGGAACTTTTCTCTGCATTTGTTGAGAGTAGCAAAGCAACTAAAAGCTGTGATCAGCCCAACTTACTGTGAAGCTAAAACAGTCACTTAAAGATGATAATTCTGACAGGATTTCTCTCTTTAACTTTTTCTTAATAAAATAGAAACTAGATTACATTCCAGGTTTTATTTTCCTGTTTCTGCTAGACTCCAGAACTGTGCACTGCAATGGCTTGCCTAACAAGGTTTTAAATTTCTATCACTGCAGCTTTTTCAGAGCAAATTACACAAATACATGAGGAACAGTTTAGGCACATCCTGCCTGTGGGTGGGGACCAGACTAGGTGACCCCTCAAAGGTGCTTCCACCTCTGAAATATAATATTCCATGATTTTATATCACTCACATTTCATCAAATAACTACTTACTTTCTATTTTTCTCTTCATCCAGGGACACACAAAAATCCAGACTAAGACAGCAAATACTAAGGACACACCAACTGATATTAGAGCAATGGCCCACATTGGCAGTATCAGTCCCAGTACTGTAAAGACAAAGAAATAAAACCGAAGCAAGCCATAAATTAACATGACTTAATTATCCCAGGCAGTGGAAAAGCAGTCTGTTGCAGAAAAGCCAGTGTTCAGAACAAGGAGAAAACCAAGAAGAAGGAGCTGATGACTTTTAACATACTATCAGTTACTGCAGTATTTAAAGGTATAGCTGACATGGAAACATTGGCAGGTTTAGTCTTCCAGTTTCCTGTTGCCCCACTGTGACATTATTTCCAAAAGAGCCGAGGGTAAAACCCCCACATCAGGGCTGCTAAACCAAGTTTGCAGTGCTTTTATACATGAATGCACATTAAACCACGTTGCCCATGAGGATTAAGTGTTTGCCTGACCTTTGCTCTGGTCCATAAAGCCTGATGCTTAGCTTGCTCTAAGCCCTTATTTGCTTACGATATGAGCTTAATGTGGCACTCCAAAGCCGAGGCTTCGTCCTGCAATGCACAGCGACAGCAACAACTCGTGTTCCTGTAGTTATTGCCCCAACAGAGATCCTTGCACTTGTTCAGCAAAACAATCTGACTCTCAATGAAGGAAGGGCTTGGACTCTGATCTTTCAAGATATATTGCCTCTCTTGAAACTTATGTGATTAATTCATCCTTGTGCGTAAATGTTGCCAGAAAGAGGCCTTGGAGAGTAAATATATATCTCCGCAGTACCAAAAATGGAGTCCCACCTTTTTACTCACACACTTTAGAGACTGCTAAGCTGAAACAGAGGGAACATTAAGATTCTTATTTCATTTATTTTGCTTAATGAGTGACTGCAGAGTGCCTGACCTACTTCTGTGGTACAACTAATGAGGAAATGTGAGTTATACAGCTGATTTACTGTTAAACATCTTGGATACATAGCCAATTAGACTTTAAAGGAATAGTAATGTTACCTCCAAATTGGAAATGTCTCAAGTTTTTTATTAATTCAAATAATGCTATGCTATGGAAATAGGGTCTACCAACTGCATTTATCTAGTACATCTAGTGTGTTGCATTTTAGAAAAATCTTTCCATTCAAAAAAAGATCAGTATCTAAGCCTGCTTCCTTAATTCAGGGCCATGTTCAGGAGTCTATCTTCAATTGCCTCTTCATTCATAACTCTTGGACATTAATCTAACCTAAAGAAAACATTTAATGACCAGAGTTTTCAACAAAGTAGTCGAGATCACTGAACATCTTTGTTCTGAACCCTTTTGCTAGAAGTGTGTGTTTAAATACACATCACTTCAGTAAACTATAAAAATATAAATGCAAATACATAAACATAAAATGTGAGAATATAAATATATAAACATAAATACAAGAATATAAAATTTCAACTAATGTAAAAATAAAAATTCAGATATAAATATACATATGAATAAACACAAACGTGTAAGTGCACATAAAATATACAAATATACAAAAATATAAATAAAGTCCTTCAACATCATTTCATTCTACTGAGTTGCAATCGAAACACAGCACCAAAGAAAGAAGATGCATTCAATCAAGAAATAGGCTTGGGGATTCTTATCATTAAAGGGAAATAAAGAAGTAAATTTAAATAACAGTCTTGGAGACAGACAGGTGCCAGAACAGCAACTCTGCTGATGCCAATGGAGTGAAGGCATTGCAGTGAGAGCAAACCTGCTCTCCCACCCTGCTCTGAACATTCACTCCTTGATGCAAAAACCTAGAATACCTTTGAGAGCTCAACATGTGCTCAGATTTACAAAGCCAAAGCTGCATCTCAGTAATTTCCCTTCCTCTAAAGAGGAACTTTTCTTTGTAGCTGTGGTCTTCCCGCTAACCAGAGCGGTCAGGAGGGTGTCACAAAAACACACACACAAACAGAACCATGTGGGGAGGTGAACGATTTCCTCTAGCCCTCGTTAACTCCTAATGCAGGAGATAACCCTGTGATGTCTGGGTGATGCTGGCAGAGCATCCTTACACACTGTGGGAAGCCTTCCTCCCATGCCTCCCCGCTCACTCACCTGGTGCCCCAGTGTACATGATGGAAAACACGTTAATAGCTATGGTAGCAGCATAGAACATCGGGAGTGCGCGGAGACCATTGGGCACAGGGTCTTCCTGCATAGAAACCATGAAAAAAAGGACATGTTAGTTAGATTTCACACCAGACTCATGTCAGCATGAACCTTCATGTAGAAAACACGTGCTCCCGAGTCAGTGGCAGGCAGATGGAGCTTTTGGATGTCGAGGAAAGGATGGAGACCTGCTTGGTTACACCCAAATCCACAATGCTGGTCCTGGCAAGTACCAGCACCCTGGAGGAGCTTGACACTGTCAATGGAAACCAGGGACTTCTGTTATACTTTCCAGTCTGCTGCTGAGTGACCTGGGGGCAGGTTTCTTTCTTCGAGTGTGTTCTTATTTTGTGTCCAAGATGAGGAGTCCCTTCCACTTAGCACAACTGAAGGGTGCCAAGCAGGAGAGGGCTTTGATGTTTTGGGCCAGTGCTACAAGCAGCAGTGCAATGCATCCATCTCAAAACCATATCCCTAAGCTCCCACTTCCTGCCAGCTGAAAGAAATCTCTGAAATCCCAAGTGTCTGGCTGCATTAAGCAGGTAACACACACAAAGTGAGCAGGCAACCTTTAGCACAGCACTGTGTCTGCTGCCTGCTGCGCTCTCGTGCTCTCGGCACTCACAAGGAAAGACTCAGCTGACGGCACAGCGGAAACACACCGTGTGAGCCACCGACCAAGCCTTTGTGAGGGACTGCCTTGGCCTTTTGAGGGGCTCCACGTGCTTGCAAAGAGTCTGGCAAAGCTGAGAGCTAGCTGATGTGGTTTTATTTGTTGCTGCCATGAGCCATAAAAGGGAGCTGAGAAAAGGCTGTGGCCGCCGTGTGCTATGCCCCAGTCCCCAAGCGTGATGCAGATGGGCTGTACTTGCAGGACCAGCTGCTATTCACAGACACCCCCAACCAGGGCATGGAGCCCTACAACAGGCCACAGAATCACAAGGTAGAAAGCTGCTCCTTTCTTATGCATGCACACAAGTCACTACCTGCTTATGTCAGAAGCTCTACAGTTCTTACTGTTTTGTGAATGGCACAGATGGCACTTGGGAGGCAATTTCCTTAACTTGAACTTTTTATGCCTCTTGAATGCTTAAATATGTGTCTTTAATACCAGAGTTCACATGATTTTGATGGCCAATTTCTTATGTTGCTAGGCTTTAAATACAATAGTGGAACTTATCCTCACTTTTATGCAACTTGAGTTATTTTTTATTCATAGCTGAATCTGATCAAATCTATCATCTGTTTTTATCACTGACATTTATTTAGAGCAGAAATAAAGAACGATGGAGCTGAGGTTACAGGTGGTGCTATTTATAGCCAAAGAATTAATCCCTCATCTATTTAAGTTCCCTGTATAACTGCTAATATAGTGTCCCTTATTTTAGGTCACTGTCATGCACTGCACTTCCCCATTTTAGCAAGCTGAATGGTGTGAGAGAAATGGAAAAGGCAGATAAAAGTGTTCAGGTTTCCAGTTCATGCTGGGTGGCAGAAAAGTCATCTTTTGCACTGGAGATACACGGGCTGATGTTACCTCAGGTCACTAAAACCCATTGATTCAGGTTTCTTGAGAATCTACAAAATAGGCAGATGCCCATCTTCTAATGTCCGATGTGCTTGGAAAACCAAGGCTTAAAATTTCACAACTTTAAAATACCAATTAGAGTATCTCCAAGGGAGGACTGTTCTGTTTAAATTACAGACAGAACAGCTATTGTGAGACTAAGTCAATGCCAGCAGCCTCAATGTACCATCCTCTGACCAAACAGAATATGTAATATTAATTATCACACAGCACCTTCTAAGTCTTAAATACTTGTCAAATTACTTACTGTGAGCTTTCAGAACTTTTAAGGGCAAGTATAACTCAAAAGGCTATTAAAAAAAAAGACTGGTCTCCCGTCCAAACAGAAGCCACAAACTTTCAGCTCTGGAAATGCCAGCACTCAAATGGGAGGCTAAAATACAACCTTCATACTAAGCACTTATTATAATAATGAGATTTCTTTACCTTGTTTAAAATGAAGAATCTGATCAGCACAAAGAGGATTCCAGACATCAAGCCAGATAACAGTGGGGAAATAAACCAAGAGGCAACTGTGTTGAGGAAAGAATGAAACTTGAAATAAACCATATTCTTGCATAATAATTAAGTACATTGTTAATGAGCAATAAACTAAAAAAGTTCTTGCACAACTGCAATCAATGTTCTGTATGTTTACTTAAACTGGTGCGACTCAATGTCCACCAACACTCATGAAACTCAAAGTAATGCTAGGCACCATTAGAAACAACAGCCGAAGCATTTCCTAATTTTGCAACTTTAACAATCAAACTCATCAGGAAAGTTTCTTTTAGTTTGAATCAGAGTAGACCAAGAAAATGCTGTAATTTCCTGATCACCATGACCATGAACCTTGCAAGTAAGTGGAAAGCAACTGCATCTAGCAGGATGCCATGCTGCTCCCAGGGTAAGTCTTGAGTTCCAAAATGCCACAGAAGCACCAACTGTAATGTATGATGTGTGTACATTTTTTGCAGGCCAGCACTGCAAGTGTCCAGGACTGATTTAACTGAAGTAGGTGGCAAAGCTCCCACTGATTTCAATAAAACCGGATTAGGGCAGCACTCTGGAAATCTCATCCACAGTGATTTATTGTTCGCAGCATGGTTAACGGATTGAGTCTGCTGTCACTGAAAACTCTTTTACTATTGACAGTATTTAAAAAAAATACATGCATTGTTAAAGTTCTAAAATATTACCATGCCTTCAGCATCAAATCCTTTTAATAGAGACTTTAGGCTGCACCTCAAGTTCCAAAGGCTTCCAAAACAATAACAAAACACTCCGTCACATTCCTGCTTGAATATGCCACTGATCCTGGCAATGGAAGGCTGTGAGTTAAATGTGCTGTATGCCCTGAAGGTAGTGGGTGGAGAAACATGACTGTGGGCATTCACATGATAGCATTCACATTGTTGAGAGAAAGAACAGGGTAGTATGAGCTGCCACAAAAAGAATTAGAAGAGGAGGAATGTCACCTTAGAGCATGTTTCTTGAGGGACAATGTGCCCCCAGCTTACCACTGGGGAAGTACAACTTTTGTCTTACCCCTTTCTCCACTGGAGACACACTGCAGCCCTCAATGAACATGGCACCAGTGTATTCTCTGAATGACACGACTGGGGTGGAAAATAAATTAATGAGGGAGCGCTATCAGCACAAAGCAGATTTCTGGGAATGCTTCTCACAAGGCAGCACGCACTGTTTCACACACCCTCACACATAAAAGGAGACAGCACTTACCAATCTTAACAAGCTGCATCCACTGGACACCCTGCGTGCCAATTGCCACCAGAGAAAATCCAATCGTAGCACCTACAATGCAATGGGTCCCTGATATTGGGAGTTTCAAGAACGATGCAATTAGCTGCCAAACAGCAGAACCTAGAAACAAATGAACCATATGGTATAAACAACAACAACAACAATAATGTAACACAGAAAATTCTTTGCCATGTGCCCATATTCTTTCACAAGTGCTGCCTACACTCCTCATGCATAAGAGACATCTTCTAAAGAGAGTTTTGTTCCTGTTCTGTCTCTAAAAGCAGATACTGAGACAGTTTAATAGCAGCTTTGAATGCTACATCTTACTTTTGACTGTTTATGACTAACAGCTCCCTACATTTCATGACAGTTCTGCTTTCAGTATTTACAGCCTGTCTGAATAAGTACACAAACTGCTCCCAGAGCACATCAAGCTTAGAAAAAAACTCATTCTTGACAGCTGACCCTGGAACCTGCAGTGATCGGCATGAGGAGGCATTCACCATTTCACTAGTGAACTACCCACGCTCCTAAACTTAGCTACTACCAGAGAAAGGTTCAAACTGTGGGACAGAGAGATTTTATGCTTCATCTCAGCGATACACAGCCATCCAGTCCTCTACAGGAAAACTGGACTGAAGAAAGACTAAGGACTCTCTCACTGTCTTCATCCGCAGCTCATTGTTGCACTGGAAAAATTCAAGACTGCTGAAAAAGGCTTATGTTAGTCATGGAGAAGCCAAAGATACCCCTGGCATAAGGAAATAAGTTTCCCTAACTAAGGGACAGTGGTTAATGGTCTATAAAGTAAATGCAACATCTGGCATTCCAATGAGATATCCAGAAAAGATGCTGGCCAAGAGTGCAGGGGGAAAGAAAGTACCCCAAGCACTTCCTTTAGGAGTTAGATCAGATACAATTGGCCACCAAGCTCTCAAGCACGCAGCTTCATGCTCTGACTCCTTTTCACTTTGCAAAGACAAAGGATCCCTGCTCCTCTTGCAGTGGGGCACCAACCTCAGGACACCAAAATACTTTTGAGAGTGACACAAGCTTTCTGTGGACCTCCCCTAATATTAGAGAATTCTTACAAAGATCTCTTCTTCATCATAATACTTCACAGCCTTAAGTCTAATTCTTCATGTATTGAGTCACCAATGGCAAGACTGCCATAAGAGATCCTGAATTTTCTGGCTCATGCTACATTTCTTAACAGATCTGCATCAGATACAGGCGATAAAGCAAGGTCACTGAACATACGCTGGCAGATTACCCAAAGTTTCAACCTCCACCCTCAATTCCAACAGGAGAAGATGGTTTGAAGGTCTTAAAACAGAGCCATCTGCAAACAGTGATTTGCTGGTATCATATGTGGCTACGTTTGGAAGCCAACCAGTTTGTAAAACTGATCTCTCCTGGCATACTATCCCAAAACAACTGTTACTTCTCTTGCTAGTGGAAATTCTAGATCAATCAAGGAACACCTGCTCTCTAATTTTCTGGTTTCTTTTCACCTGGACAAAAATAAAAATAAAAACATTTTGAAACCTTTGACATGAACCTAGAGATCAGAAAATGGAAGTGAGGAGGAGAAGGTTACATCTGAAAGAAGTCAAATAAAAAGATAATAGATATGTAATTACAAAATACTCAGTATAAAAACATGCAACCAAGCCACAGCTGCATTGCAAATGTCTAGTGAGGACTGGCAGGTTATTGTCAGGGCAAATAGAGGGAGTATGGAGCTATTTCTTGTTTATTTAACTTCACAGAATCACAGACTGGTTTGTGTTTGAAGGGACCTTAAAACATCGTATAATTCCGAACCTGGTGCAATGGGCAGGGACACCCTCCACTACACCAGATTGCTCAACTGAAAACAAACAGGAGAGAAAATAAAAGGTAGTGGAGGACCAGTGGATGGTCTGAGAAGGACAATGCATAATCTAAAGAAGTTTAAGGAAGCACGTTAAGGAACAGAGCAGAACTTTACTCTGAGACTTGCAGGGCTTTAACTACCTACATCAAAGCTTTAGCTCCTCTTTAACATAAAATGTATGTTATCAATTTTTACCTTTGCAAAACTAACTCAGGAAGCAGGAGGCTCACTAGGCAGGTGACAGAGTCCCAAATTCAGACCCTTCACACCTGCTAACAGCATGGCCCACACCTTTTCCTCTCAGTTAATATCTCCTAAAGACAGAGGGCTGGCTGCAGACTGCCCTGGCCAGGAGTTGCCTGCACCAGCGTTTGGCCAGGGTGCGTTTTATGCTCCCCATGCTGAGGGCACCTCATCCATTCTCCTGAGGCTCCGGTGCTCCGTGCCAGATGTGAGCCCCATCAAATACCACATCACCTGCAGGACTAGATTAGTACTTGGCTCTGCTAATCCTGGCTGGGATGTCCTCTCTGTCGGTGGCATCTCCTCAATCGCATCAGCTGCTGACTTCAGCTCGCACCAGAACCTCTAGAACAGCACACGGGCAAGCCCTGACCATAACCTGACAATTAGTTAATGCTGGGAAAGTACTACAATTTACCCTCAAGAGCTACAGTCCTTAACTTCTCATCTGGCTAATAAACAACATTTTAATGTGCTACAAATTACTAAAAAATGCAACATTTTATAATTTTAATCCCATTACTTCCTGCCTCCTTTTCTCTTAGGAGAGAAGGTTGACCTGCAAATTACATCTGCTGTTTGCTGCAAGCATCAAAGGATCTTCCACCAACATCTGGAAATAGGATACAGTGACTTTTGGTCTCTCCCAGACTGTTGACTCATTTAAGCCTCATTGAAATTCAGAAGCTAAATCCATTTGCAAAAACATGATCATGAGGCATGAGAGAACAGGGTGGGGGGAAATGCAGAATCAAAACAGAAAGAGGAAAAGAAAACATCCAAGAAGGCTCCTAGAAAACAAAGAAAACATATCATACATCCAGAGAAAAGTTGGAGATGGGTTTGGGGAAAAAATATTGAAATCTGCATTTTGTAACTTGTGATTAATTCTGAGATTTATAATGTGGAATTTCTTCTTAATGTCCCTCCTGGAAGAAGGGAATGCAACTGGTCATGAAGTTCACACAGGCTTATGTAAATACGCATGCAAATCAGCTGTTTTCTTTGAGCTTCTGGCCAGTTGCCTCTGCAGGGGGGTATCTGAGACTTAAAACTTTGCCCTGCCAGGATCAGGATACCAGAAATAGATAGAGAGAAGAAAACGGACCCTTCCTTCAATGGGAATCAAGAACACACAGGTCACTTACATCTCTGGCTGTGTGCAGCGCTCCTGCCTCACACCCATGGGAAAAGACTGAGCCACCTCAGCCAGCACAAGGATAAAAGAAGCAAGTGGAATGGTGCTAAAATGCCACCCTACACCTTGAGGGAAAGACCAGACACCTACAGCTGACCCTGCAAGGTATCAGGAGAGAGGAACTGATTGGGTGGGGCAACTGAGGTGGTTTAAGACGGGACCATCTGGGGAAGTGGCTGCTGTCCCAGTGATTTCCTGGTAACCAACTCCTCTTCCCCTTGGGCAAGGAAAAGTGGCCAATCTTCAGGAGGCTCAGGAGCAGCCAAGGAACCAAGAGAACTACCTCCACGCTCTCAGGCATACAAAGCTGCCTCTGACAACACCAGAAACTGTCACTCAATGTCTATTTTGATCCACAAAAATAAAAGACATTTAAAAAAAAAAAAAAAAAAGGGGCATTCAATTTTCCCTTTTCCCAAAGGAAACGGGAAAATAACCATATCTAGTAAATCTCTGCACAGATTCACCTATCTCCTGTGCAGGTCTTGCGTAAAAAGCGTGAGGAGGTTAGAAGGGACAGGTGGAAATAATATTTAGGTCAGGTTTAAGCAGGTTTAAGGAAGAAAATCTTTAAGTGGAACATCCCTGTCAAGCAGAGGATGCTGTGGTGCTTGTGTAAACCGCACCACCCTGTCACGGGATATCACCAACCTGCCAGACTGAGGTGGGAGGGCTGGTCCCTTGCTGGGGCTGCCTCTCCCACAGATAAAGGCTTTCCTCCCTGCTGTCTCCTGCCCTTTGAAAGCAGGTTTGCTCCTTGAGGGAGCTCTCAAAAAGCTCACAAAGCCTCTTGCACACAAACAAAGAGTAAATACCGTGGCTTAATGTTACTTACCTCAGAATATGCTCTTTGTTCTGAACAGAGATTTAGTTAACCACAAACACAAGCAAGGGGGCAGTCTCTAAGGTACACTGACCTGCTGCCGTTTGGGTCAGAAAACTAAAAAGACCTTAAATGTGTGATTATTTTTACTGCTCCCTTAGTTTTGCCGTGGGCAAGGGTGAAGTGTAGGACTAATTGCAATCACTCAGCCAGGCAATCACTTTACACAAATGTGTTTGGATTTTAACTGTAACTTTTTCTAAAAGGATTCTTTCTCATACACACTCACTGCAAACTGCTGATACTGTAGGATCTTCTGTACAGACACAAATGCTAGGCTTTTATATTTTCCATTTACCAACACAAAAATCTCCAAAAGAATTTTTTTCAGTATCTTATACATATATAATGTGATCCATTGTGTTAAACATTTCTTTTCATCTATTAGTGAAATGGCTGAACCATTGAAAAATGTAAATTATAAGAAGCATTTAAAAAAAAAATAGACTTAAAAAGGAATACAGCCCCCTGCATTCACACAAAAAACAAATATGCAGGTCCAGAAGATGGGAAGACTAAATTAACAATGCTGACAATGAACAGGGTGACAAATGCAGAACAAACATTACTTGGAATAGGAAAGTATTACTTACCAACCATTGCACTCACTTCTCCTGCCATCAGCAGTGGGACAGTGTTGTTGTACAGGTTAACATCAATGATACCTTTCCGAATTGTTTCTCCTACTTTTGCTCCCAGTAGTACTGAGCCAGTGGTTTCAAAAACTGAAGCCAAAATGCAAGCCTGGCGTAAAGTAACAACACCAGAGCCCACAGCCGTTCCGAAAGAATTTGCAACATCATTCGCACCAACCGAAAAAGCTAAAATGAAAGCAATGATAAAACCCACAATGACCATCCACAGGTACTCATCCAGTGCCATCTTTCCCCAAACTGTAGATCAGCTTCCCCTTTGCAAATAGTTAATAGTCAAGGCTGGAGGGCACCGCAACGGATTTGGAAAGCAGATTTCTTGTAAACAATGAGTTCTCTCTGGAAAGTGCTGGGTAGTGTTAGAATGTGAAGAAACTGCTAACTGCTGATTTTCGAACTACTATAAATACTGTTCATTTGGCTGCCTTCGGTCAGCAGTGAAACACATTCCATATTTTGCTTCCAAACCGGTAGGACTGCGATGTTCTGTCCTGCAACAGAGAATAAAAATAAAAAATAAAAAAAAAGAAAAGAAAAAAGAAAAGAAAATTTAAAAAAAAAAAATAAGAGGGGGTGAGAATACTCAGTAGAGCTCACAACAATGTGTGTTTTCAGAAGTAAACAGATGATTTAAACCCACTAATGGGGTCCTACCTCAGCATGTGACTGCTCTAATCATAAAGCAATTCAGGAAAGATTCAAATTAGGTCACCTCCAAAGCAATATGTTTCTTGCAATATTACTGACTAAGAAAAACTTCTGAGTAATTTAAAAGGATTTAGAAAGTTTGAAAATGTTATTTGTGTTGAGCAATAAGGCCTCTTTCTAGAAGGAGGATTCTTCTTGGCTTTTTGCACCCAATGAATATAAGACATATAGAGTACAGACCATACCATACAGCCTGACTCCCAGCTGTATATAACATCTAGCTCCACTGATCTCAGCAGAGCTCTCAACATTTTAGCTCAACATTGTGGATATACTCCTTTGAAAAATTATTTTATATGTATGTCTGTCTAGGAAACACCACTGAAAATACTCTGAAGAACATTAATATTCATCTGTTGTTGTTATCACATCCCATGCAGTAGAGAATACAATTTCCTTACAGCTTTTCAGTCACCAAAACAGCACAATAATTTTAATATTTCCATGTTATCCCTACGGGTTTAGAGAAATCTATGAAAAAGGTGTAATGAAAACACTGAACTCTTTTTATAGAGAGTTACCAATTACCAAACAGTTATTATATTCAAACTATTGTCACAGATATCTTTGACTATTTATTTTGACAGTTCCAGTTTTATGACTGCCTTTTGAATTACATCTTTCTCAGTCCAATAAAAGTAAGCTCTTTCAAGGCAACTAAGGGACACAGAGAAAGGGAGTTTAAAAAATAAAACCTTCATCATCCAAAAGACTCGTAAACAGAGCAAGAAGGCCCACAGTGACATGAAGATAGTCAAAAGCTAGAGGCAAATTTTCCCAAACCACCTGCCTCCTCCAAGGGCTAATTCTCTTCTGTTACTGGCCACCACAAAGACATCCTCTGGTCCTGTGGCAAGGGGTTAAATGAACATTTAGCAGCAAATATGCATCAGCCAACTCCACCTTTTTTATGAAGCACTTCTAGAGAGCAGGGGATGTCAGATTAAAGTCCTGAGCCCACCTTCTGCTCACTCTCTACTCCCCACAGTCACTTCAATTTCGTACAATATTCCCACATGCACAGTTCATGCTTAATTTCTTTCAATGACCCAAATGCAATTTGGATCCTGCGGTAAAAAGGATTTCTGAAATCCCTGAAATAATAGCAAAATTAAAAAATTAAAAGAGATCTTGCATACTTCTGAGGTGCTAGATCCTTGAGAACAAGCAAGAGGAAAATAAAACATCTATCTGAGTTTCCTAGAAAACATTTAAATTGATGTCAAGGATTGATGCTTTCTCTACATACACATATTCAGCAAAAAAGATGTCCCCCTTTTTTTCTGCAGGCTCCACACTGGCTGAACAACTGTTGCTCCAGTCTTTTCCAGACATGGGGCAGACATCAATCCTTGAATGCCTTACACTCTAAAATAACATTTTAGAAGGTCTTAATGGCTAAAAACATTTGTATAAGGATTTTTATACTATGAGATAACATGAGAAAATGAAGCACCAAAGCATGTTTTCTGTTTGAAGACTTGTTGCTTTTTTATAATTCATGAGCACTCAGCCCACTTAGTGGAAAAGGACTTGACAAAAACAGAAAAGGCTAATGATATTTGGAAGAAACAATTATAGTTAGCACTTGTTTGCCTGTGAATGAAGACAAAACCCCACTAAAAGCATTTGTTAAAAAAAATCTATTGTGCATGTCAGAATTTTGCTAGGAGATGGGGTACAGGACTAGGGTCCTTCCTTGATCCTGATGATTAATGATTAAGTTCTTCATCCTGCATGCATTTCCACTGTACCTTTGCCAAGTTAGCCTCAGCACCCCAATTTCTTCTCCTGAAAATGGGCAAAGCTGGCTGAGGTCCATGCATGCATCCACAGACTGTGATTATACAATACCCATTTCTTTGGAGCAGCTAGATAAAAGCACATCCTTAGTCCCAATAGAGATCTGTCTTTTCTCCACTTACCAACCAACCTACCAATTTATTGTGGTGACCCAAATCCTGGGACTGAGAGAAAGAGCAGGCCGATTGTGACATTCCCCCACCACAACAGAATTCATGGGACAATGTTAGCCAAATCTGGCTCCTCCAGCCACAGCAAGTTCCTGCAGTTTCCAAAATAAACCACTAAGTCACAAGGTTGCCTTTATTAGATTCATTGGGAGACGGTGGGGTGAACTCCTCCAGATGGTCCCAAAGAAATTAAGACTTCAAGTGTGGGTATGTGTGCTCCTAAATCGCCTCATGAAGGCCAAAGAGTCTCCAAGAGACTGTCAGCAGGGCTTTTGGCAAAGGGCTCAGAGAGGCAGCTACATAAACTCCCTCCCTGTGAAATAGGATATATGGCCTCAGGAGAAAAGGATGTCTTAAGTAAGAAGTCACCCTTCCTGTCGTTTTATGCAAGGTGATAGTTCAAAACAGAGCCTCCTCCAAAACTTAAGGCTCAACTTGATGTCCACTGTGCTGGCACAAGCAACAGCACAGCCAAGCTGAGTCTTTAAAAAGATGGAAATCAAAAGGAAAAAAGGAATAAACACATGTTTAAAAATTAACATGTAGGCTGCCTTTGAATGGCTAGGTGTTACTACTTTCAACCTTGAAAAACGGTAAGAGATTTTAAACGCTTATAAAAAACCAAAAAAAAAGGGGACATCTCTGCTGAGAAAGTTTTCAGAAATGCAAAATATCCTGCAAAGCAGGCCAGTGACTAAATACAGACTAAACCTTGTAGCACGCTTCCTTCTAGAGCCCAAAATACATTTGGCATGCTCAAACAAGCTGAGCTATGCCCCTCATCACCTAATGCAACCCAGAGCCTGTGGCATTTCATGTTGTTGCTGGGATGAAAAAGAAACTGGAAAAAACACCATGCAGTAGGGAAAGGCAGGTGATCTGCTCCATATGTGACACCTGGAAGCCACCAGCCTGCGTCTCTCCTGTTCTCACTTATATTTAATCGATGTGCCGCTATGCAATCCAAATGCAATTCAACCTGACCTGCTGGATGCTGGGATCCTCCCATTTACCCCTGGGACTGATGCCTCCTCTGCAGTCAGGTGTGCTCTGCTACCACAGCAAACTCTGGATGGAAAAACACATTTTCCTATTTAGGCTTTGGGTAACTCTTCCTGAACCAGCCCAACCTGTTCTGCCATGCTGCAAACTCACACTTGGGCATTATCAGGGTAGAGGAATTGTGTTAGGACCAGGGAGCTGCAGGACCTAAAGCTGGGGCATGTATCTCTGATGGCTGTTAGAGTGGAGAGAAACATGTAGAGATGACATTTCAAGCTGTAAGAAGGTAATTCTGCATTAAGGCAAATTTTTGTAGCTAACAGAGTTTTCTTACAGTCCTCAGTCAGTGTACCATACTTTTGAGGTTTGAGTTGAAGCCTTTTAAGTGGACTTAGAAACCTGCACCTTGACAAGAAAAATTTGATTTTTGGAAATGCTAAGCACATCCCTCTGCCTTACTGGCAGATGATCCAGACACCCCCCTCAGACTGCATTTTGTTGTTAACTAAACAGCTTGTTATAACTCTGTCAACATTGAGTGCTATTTCTTCCCTAAGGGAGAGAGGAGAACAAAACCTAGGTAAAAAAGCACCTCGATTCATGCACAATGACAAGTGAATCCTCAGGAAAAAGTTAGGATCTTGTGGTAATCATGAGATCATTTTAGGACATGTTTATATATGGGCATTTACTAAGACAGGTCTCCTGGAAGCTATTCAGAGTACATCTACTAAGTCTAGACAAGTTTTAGTGAAAAAAATTACTAAATTTGAAAATCAGAGAGCTCAGGGTTTGGGGATTTTTGTTTTTGCTAAACAAATTGCTGCTAAAGAGAACAGAGAAGTATCTAACAGCAGGACTGAATGGATAAATAAAAGCTCAGTACTAAGATCAAATTCTAGGGAAGCAATCAGAGGGCATTATCCTCCAGCAATCCAACTGTGTGACATAAAGGAACAGAGATCCCATAAATGTCCTTTAATCTTCACAGAAAATTAGGGAAGAACCTACAGCACTTGTGAAACACTGAAAGGTATGCAGCTCATACCATAAATAAATCATGCTGTATGCAGCTCTCCTATTCTCAGAAATTGCCCCATGCTGCAGCTGAAAATTTTCTTCTGCTCTGGATGGGACAGAGATTCTGAGAGGCCCCAGTTTTAACCAATTTGTTGTTGCCCAAGTATGAACAAAAATCAAAGGACAGCAGCTAGTGTAGCATTTCCCAAAATAATTTTTATGACTACTCCACTTTGCATTAAGGCAAGGCAGACAAGGGAGGACAATTTATTTTCCTCTGCCGTGTTGAAAACAGTAGACGTTTCATGATTGACAGCGGCACTGAATTTGTACTGACAGGCAGGTTCACTTCTAGTTACCAGTGGAGGAAGAGTCTGTCTAAAATGCTTACCAGACAGCAGCTTCTGGGAGGTTAGTCCATATCCTCTCTGTTTCTGTATGTTGCTTTTATATAAAACCCATCGGTCAGGTTTCCACCTATGCGTATAAACTCGGGCCAGATCTGGCATTCCAGTCTATGGGTACTAAACACAGCACTGCATAGAAACCAAGCCTGATTTATAACCAGAGCTACTAACATTGCTCATATCAATAGTCCTTATCATTTCCAGTTCATGCTCAGGCCACAAGGCTCACAAACTATTTACTTTAAATTACTAACGCTACATTCATGATATGAAAGGTGGTATTGAATCAAGTGGTTCAAGACTGAGAACATCCCTATATGGCTCTAAATTACATGCACAGGACTTGTCACAAGGCCAAACATTATGCAAGTTTAATGCTCCAGTACACAAAAAGCACTCCCAACTTACTATAAAAAAAATCAATTACCACATCAGCAGAAGCAGGTTTTGTATCAATCAGTTCCTATTTTAACACATTCACAATGTGTTTAAAGCATACTTCATGCTACTACTTGATATGGAAACAAGACTGAAGTTGATAGCTTTCCAAGGATTCCCATCCAGTTTAACATTGCAGAGAGGGACTGTCACTGTCAGCTCCCAAAACTTCCAGAGGATGCTTCCTTTTCTTAGTCCCTATCAACCTTTTGTTCCCACCACTGGAAGGTCAAAAATGGATATAAAATATCTAGCATGAGATTTTGTTGCTGAAAACATTCACTAAAAACACAGACAGCAGCCACTTTAAGCAATTCTACAAACAAGTAAGAAAGGTGAAGTATCAACAAGTTCTCGTGCATTTGCTGATAATATCTTTTTCTCTAACTAAAGGACAATTTGACCCTTCAGTGACTGAACAAAGTCTTTCTAACAGGCAAGTAGTTTATATGACTCAATACTACAGATTTTCAAGATCCATCCAGAGAAAACAAGTGTTCATGGTTACAGAAAACATATTTTATAAAAGTAAACCATGCAGAGAAGTCTTTAAAACTCACCCAGTATTTAAAAGTTGTTTCAAGAGAAAAAGGAGCTAAGTCTTCTAGCAACCCTTCCTTCTGATTGGAAATACAGGTTGAAGTCTAAAATAGACATCCTATCATTCAGCAGTCACATCTGAACATGCAAACTATCAGAGGGTAGAAAGAGGGCTATAACTTACACCAGGCAGTCCGGGGATAAAATTCACTCCGGCACAGGAGAGCACACAAGACAACACTGAGAAGCATCAATGCGAGTCCAGATTCTTATTCAGTAGGTGAAAATCTGCCTCCTCTTAAGCAAAGAATTCTGCTGGGGGTGGGCACTGATAAAACACAACACTGCGTCACGACTGCACCAGAGAGACAAACCAATCCAATGAAGCTCGTATTAAAAGCAACAAAACCTTCCCTTCCCGCCCCCCCCCCCCTCCAGGCATAGGCATAGACAAGAAAGGAAATCTCATTTTTGACTATCAGCTGAGCATTTTGGTGAGAGCAGGTAATCTTTGAGGAGTCCCAGATCTTCTATTTGCAAGCACACTTAAATGCACTTTTAATTCAAGTGCATGTGACGGTAGGGTATGTACATCCAACCTGGGAATGATGTTGCATGCTTGCTACTTTATCCATGTCAGTAGAGGTCCCACAGGCTACACAGACTGCAGAAAGTTAAAGATGTGCACAAGTTTTGACTGGATCTATGCCTAAGCAAACAACTTCACTTTCAACAGTTCAGCCTAAATTACCCAATCCAGATTCCTTCAACTGCTTTCCTTTAAGTGGGAAACATTTTTGCACATAAGTCAAGGCAAAACTAATGTTTGCCTAAAAGTACCCGCCTTAGCTTTATGTAAAATATTTGCTTTAAGACTATATAATGCAATTAAACTATCATATTCAGCAAAAAGGAATTAAAATCAAAACTGCGCTGTCACAGTTAGAAATCTGACAGACAAAAATTTATTTGGACACATTTATGGTTTATAAATTTATCCACTAAGTTTTACTCCATTCTGAGTCATTAAAATTTGAGTAATGATATTCCAACTTAATAAAATTAAATCTGTAAATTTGCTGCATCCTTGAATATTTGAGATAAACCAAATCAATTCAGATTTGTAAACATAGACTTGGAAACATAATTGTTTCCTCATCTAGTTTTTCAATTTTGAATAAAGGATATGTCATAACAAGAAGTCAAAAGTTTTCTGAATTGGTTAAATTCAGCTGCACATCTACAGGGGTTATTTGGTAAAACTGAAAAGTGCTTTACATTTCTTAAGATAACTCACATGGATTAGCAAGCCTACATCACCTTCTAAAAAGAATTAGGGCAAAAGTCCAACTAGAAATCTGCAATGAAGAAATGACATTAAAACCACCCCCCCCCAAAAAAAAAATTATATATATTGGGCTATGATTATTTTTCAGGAATGCTGATTCTTTATTTAAGGTCGATACCCAATTACAATTAAGTCTGCAATATAGCTGCTACCTTTATGAAAAGCTACATCTCTTAAGTCTGGTCGTGATGTCTTGCCTTTTGCCTCTTTAATAGCTGGTAAACAGGCTTCCAGTTTTAAGAAAACTGAGAGGCTAAGACTTTCACAGTGGCTTTCCCTTATGGACAAAAGCAACATATTTTAACAAGTACATTAATCTTTTCCTGCAGATTATATATCTTATTACCTTTCTTACTTTTTTTTTTAAACAAGTAGCATTGCGATCAATGCAAGTGAGAGTGACCACAATTGTAAACATTAAGTCAGCCTGTATTTATAGATTTGGATTCCAAAGTTTTAAGAAAGTGAATAAACAAGCACAGAAACTTCTTGTAGCACTTGTTTAACTTTACACGGTAAAGAAAAAAAAAAAAAAAAAAAGCAAAATATTATTTCATGCTCTCTTTACAGCTGATGTCTGCCTCCAACCCGAAGGGTCCCAGTAAGCATTAAATCCATCCTAATTCTCCTTAAAGGACCATTCCCCCAGCCTAGAGCAACCACCACCAGCGTGCAGGTAAAAACACTGCCGAGGGGACGTGTTATTTGAGAGGTGTCTATTTCCATTTCAAACGCCAGAAGCTGCCAGCCTGACCTGTGGGAAGCATCTCAGACCCAGGAGAGCTACAAACGGGAACCATCCGAGTGCTGCTTCCCACGAGCCAGCCTGGCCACAACGGTGGTTTCTTGTTGACCTAAGCTTCAAAGCTCGGTCTACACGCAAAGCGAAGGATGTAATAAACAGCACGGGGAAAAGGAAATATCTTCAAAGTTTTTGTTCTGCTAAATCAGCATTGTGGACTTCAGGCATGGGAAAATTCAAGCCAAGATAGGTTGACCATTAAAAAAGAGTTATAATTTGGGACACCACTAGAGAAGCAAGCAAAGGAAAATTTATAAGACCGCAGAATAAATTACGAGGATCGGTTTTTGGAAATGGCAGCTTCAGTTTGGTTCCCATCAAATCAAATATTTGTATAAATGATAAATTACAATCTTGATCAGTTATCATAATTTGGTTTTAATTGTGATTTATTTTGGTAAATCCACAACTGGCAGATCCTTGTTTGATTCAACAAACTTGTGCTAGGCAGATTTATATTCAGGCTTAAATAATGTAATAGGAGAAGCCAATTTAAATATTTAATTTTAAACCCCCTTTGTTTTTTATTTCTGCATCAGCTATTTTCTGAAAGATGCCCAGGTTCTCATTTCCCAGTGACCATTAAAACAAAGTTAATTTTGCAACTTAGTGTAACTTTTATATCAAATGTAACTGGCCTTTTTTGCCATTCAGGTTGGAAGGCTACATATGTAAATGATTACTCATATTTTAAAACAGATACATTTTGAGTAGAAAATAATGGGGGATGAGTATAATTTTCTAACATAAAAAACTATAAGAATTGGAACCTGAATGCCTGTAAAATACATTTTTACATACAGAAATACAATAAAAATATCCAAAATGTTTTGTTGTTGTTCCAGTTACATTATGCCAGCTTAAATAAGGTTACAGACCAGCCACAGAAACTTCTGGGTTCTCAGGTACCTGCTGGTACTCTAAAACTGGGAGCCATAAGCACCTGGAACTGGGGACCCTGCCCCTGCCTGGGAGCCCTTATTCCCCCTCAATCTATAAGCAAAGAAAATAAAATTAATGAGGAGGAATTAAGATGGGTGGCAGACGGCAGCCCATCGTACCTCGAAGAAATCCAGCTTTTGTAATACCCTCTTATTTCTGGTATTGAAGGCCCCCATGGCCATCTCCACCATGGGGACCTTGAAGCAGGACACCACATGCCAATCATTATCTGGAAATCAGCCCTGAGGTCCTTGAGACTAAGAGAGATTTAACACTGCTCTACCAAACACAGCACCTCTTCCTGGTGCTCTGGTACTTCTGTTATGCTCAGTGAATACCAACAAAACTCTGAGCATCTGCACTGCAGAGAGCTGCAAACACAGTTTAAGTTAAAAAGAGCCAATAAAAGCACATCTGCTTTTGCACATTGGATAGCAAGCTCCAAAACATTCTATCATGATAATCTCCAAAAGAGATGCACCCATGTTTGGCTGCAAGAAAAACCATCTCAAGGACTCTCTGGAAAGTTTAATGTAGTAGACATAAAAATTAAGAAGTCATTTAGCATTCAGGGATGGAAAAACACTGCTCTAAGGAATCAAACCCCTTGGATGGGCTTTCTTGATGGCTCTGAACCCTGTCACCCAGTCATCCAAACGTTTTTTTCTCCAGCGAGTTTGCGGGCTCTCAAAGAGGACATCCCACCCCAGTTAGGGGACTTCCACTCCCAGTGGTCGAGGTGAATTAGCTGTGCTTGCACAGGCATGCATGGAGAGCTGCCATGTTACAGCATGTGACTCTGCTTGAGATCACACTTGTCTACTGAGTGAGCCAGCCCTGGGAAATGAAAGGGAGGAACCCACAAGTGGAATTGCTGGAGGCCAAGGCTGGCGCAGAGGATGACACGGGCTCCGGGTGCTGTGTGGCCTGGGAGAGCCACGCTGACTCCAACCCCTACCACAGCACAAGCCCATGTCAAGCCAGGAGGAGTTCAAAGGCAGCAAAGTGATTCTGAAGGGGCAAGACTTTGGCCAGGACTGATTCAAGCACTGCCCCAGTTAATGCTGGGGACTGGACTTGGATGGCCTGTGATTCCAGCCAATTGACCAGAGACTAGAGCATACCCATGCCCATCCTAAGACCAAGGAAAAGGGTGAGCTGCTGTTGTGAGCCACCCTGAGCTTAATCTTCCCCTCCCCAGACCCATATCCAAAAAAACCAATCAGCATGGGCACAGTACTATAAAAGCCCTGGCTACTGCTGACAGCCCAAGGAACATTATCCTGAAATACTAATGGACCTGTACTGACTTACACAGAACATAAAAACTGCCCATGAAACACTCCTGTGGCAATCCAAAAATATGCATTTTGCAAATTCAGAGGCTTATGCAGAGATGCCCTTGGTGAAAAGCCAGAGTGTGGTTGCCAAAAGTCAACAATGCAAATTTTTCAGATAAAGGAAACCTGACACGTCCAGCCCCAGATTGCCTGCCATTTCCATTTCAGTTTGGGTTTCAGAGAACAACCACTGTGGAGCCTTCTGTTTGAGCCAGAAGAGAAGGCTGGAGCTCCCTTGAGTCCAGCAACCCCCTCTCTTCAAACAGAACTAGAGTGAGTGAGTAGCTATCAACATGCCAAACCACACCAGCTGGCTCTTGCTGCCAACCTCCAAAATCAGTGTGGCCCACAGGACAGAAGACCACGCACTGCTGAAATGAAATGAGCTAGCTGAATGTCAAAAGGAGGAAAGGACCAGGGGTATAATCAGAGGAGTGACAGTGACACTCACAGAGGTGTCAACCAGGGTTATGGGGGTAAATGGAAGTAGATGAGGCCAGTACGCTCTGGCAATGGAAATTTTGCTGGTTTGTTGTTTTGGGTTTTTTTCCCTATGAGCATTACAGTAATAGAGATATAAAGGGGAAAACAGCAATGAAAGCTGTGACCTTGGCTTCATTTCACAGGAATGGGAGCCAAATATTACACCAGGAGGCTGGTGATCATGCTCATGCTGCCTGGCGACCATGCAAAGCATGGCATCTGCCAATTAATAGGCCTGTTTCCCCCTCAGAGCCCAATAGCTGCTGATCTCTGTTCTTGAGTCCATGTAATAGTCCATATCTGTCTCCTGCAGCCTTTGCTGCTAGAGGCATGAGCAACATGATGGTGAAGCAAATACCTTGAGTTCCACCTACCAGGCAGCATTAACATCCTGGTAGCTTCACTGTAGGTCG